TACATTCTTAATGTCTGCTGCATAAACCAATATTTTTAGGTGGCCACACAAAGAAATCCAAAGTATTGAGGCTGGGAGAATGTGCAGGCCATGGAAGTGGCCTTCCTCTACCTATCCATCTTTCATGATAGATGTCAGCCAGTGTATCGCTAACAGTGTGACTAAAATGTGCTACAGCAACATTATGCATGAACCACATGTGTATTCATATTAGCAGGGATACATCCTCTAGCAAACTGAGAAATATGTTTGAAATAAAGTCCCTGCAGACAGCTCCTGAAAAACAAGCTGTGAGAACATATAGACCTACCAGACAGTCACCTACAATTCCAGCTCACACATTAATTGTAAACTGATGCTGGTGTCTAGTCTGAATTGTACTATGGGGATTCTTATCTGCCCACAAATGATGGTTGTATAAATTTATCATTCCATCTCTTCCAAATATTGCCTCATTTGTAAACAATGGATCAGTGGTTTGTGCAATAAACGATCGGTGAAAGTTCTCTCATGGTGAGTGATCAGAGGGTGAAAGACTTGGCACACGTTGCAAATGATATGGATACATGAGTTGCTCTTGAAGTATCCTCCATGCGGTATGATGAGATGTACAAGCTAGGGTCACTTGATGTGTTCTCATACCTGGATCATCCCTGACAGCCTGTAGAATGTGTTCTTTGTGGTCAGGCATATGAGTGGATCTTGATCTTCCTCAATTCATAGTTTGTGGTGCCATGGATCCTGTCTTAGCCATGTGATGATAAACAGTAGCAAAGGTTGGATGACTCACCTGCCTTTGGTCTGGAAATGCAATCTGATAACAGCTGTGCTGTCTCATGTTCATTAACATTTGTGTAGCCATATGTAAAAATCATATTTGCCAGCTCATGATATGAATATCCTGCCATTGTTAAATGGAACACTTCTCAGTTAACTCACGACTACACATGTTAAGCATTGAAGACAGACTAATGTAACGTAGTCTACATGGCAACATAGTGCCACCTACTAGAAACTTTCTTTAAACTTGATAACTCAAAAATGAAGGATTTGCAGACATGGACTTTTGTCCTTGTTTTGGTGTGAGGAATCCATCCCTAAAGTTTTTAAAAGTATTTTATATATATATATATATATATATATATATATATATATATACACACACACATACATACACACAGAGAGGGTGCAATGAGTAAATTTTCACCATTTTATATTTTTAATTTTGCACATGTGCATTGTTTGCTTTTGTTTTTGTTTTTTTTTGACTGCACAGTATAGCAGGGTTAGTTTGGCACCATATCCACCAAATATTTTGAAATGGCATGCTGTACTGCTTGGTATTCATACTGGAAGCTCCAATACGAACATTTCAGAGTGTTTAGGTGTCAATCTGAGAACAGTGCAGAGGATTCAGAAGGAGTTGGATCAGTCTCATGATGATTATAAAACTAGTGCAGCTTGGAAAACTCACTTGTTAGTGAGGGCCTCAGACTTAACATAGAGGTCTACATCAACTGTCTTGAGGTAGTGCTGCCCTTAGGTCAAGAGAAGAATCAGTAATATTATTTGTCCTGACCTGGCTTCAGTTACTTTCCCATCACTGTAAAGTTGCTTCCCTGTGCCTTTTCTATAAATATTTTCATGATAATTGTTTGGTTGAACACTTTGTTATGGTCACTAGACTTTATGAATTTAAGCACACTACTAGATTGATAATAAGGTCTCATCAATTTACAGTTGAATTGGCTTATTATTGAGTTCTATGCTAACAGTTTCTTTTCTCAGACATCTAGCTTGTGGAAGTCTCTTCCAGTTACATGCTTTCCAGTTAAATATGACCTTCAAGAATTTAAATGCAATGTCAATTGCTATCTCCTGTCTTTCTGATTAATCTTCTCTTGTTTTTGCTCCTTATTAATATTTCTGTTTTCGAATTCTTTCACACCCAGTTATCTCTTATGTCTTAGCGGGTTATTTATGATTTTTTTAAAAAATGTTTTTATTTTTCTTTCTTCATGCATTTTTCTATATTTCTGTGTTTTGGTATTCTTTTTTGATGATCTGTTTCCCTTCAGGAAATAGGTGATCAGGCTCTCCACAATTTCCTATCTCTTGTGGCTCTTTGCTGTTTTTATCTCTTTCCTAAGGCTACACCCCGTTCTGCCACCTATTCGTATAAGCTCATTGCCTTCTATCTCGCTTACCCTCAATATGCTCCATGAGGATCAAGTTTTCCAAACCCTCTTTCCCCAATATGTGACCAAGGAATTTCTCTTCATGATTTTGAGTGCAAGTATTCTTTCTGCTGCCATTTTCTTTAAGATTTCCTTGTTGTTTACTCATTTCATCCATGGAATTTTCTGTATCCTTCTGTGGAACCATATTTCTGAAAAAAAGTTTTTTCCTCATCCTTAAGATTATCCAAAAATTTATATAAAAGGATGTATATTACATAGCAATCCAGCACTATGGTTTGAAATGCAGATTCTTAGTCCTCCTATACTGGTTGCCACTCAAGGCTAGAGAATCTAGTCTAATCTGCAATTTAAACCACAGCTGGTGATCTGGGAGGATGTATCCATCCCTTTTTCAAGTTAATTTGTTTGAAAGTGAATGCAATAAACTAGCCTGGGATTTGAACCGACCTCACCAATTCCACATTTTGTGCTTATATCCATTACATTACCTATGTGAATATAATTAATAATCCATGTTGCTCAGAACTCATAGCACAATATAAAATGATACAATTTATAATTGTTACACAAAGACATGTCTGTTGTGATCATTGCTATAGTTGCATGTGACATAATATAAAAGAATTTGATTTGAAACTATCCTGTGAAAGAATTCTAATTCTTTACAGTGGTTCATATTCTCAGGTGTCATTCTTCCCTTTATGATCTCAGGTTTAGAATTATCATTTCATAATAATTTCACCATTATACAAATGACAGATATGAGGTAAAAACAGAAAGTTCTAAGAGAAGGCTGAAAACAATTTGACCATTACTCCAGTAAATATAATTCAAATATTATTTAAATTTGGATCATTTTTTAAATATATACAGCAATTTTTTTTCCATACTTTCTGGTATTTTATTGGTAACTGATTACTTTGAATGCTTATCTTGAATTTACACTTGACTGGCCTTGAAATGCCACTCAAAATCCTTTGTTTCAGTTCAAGGTTGTTCACAAAAAGTTTTATGGAGCATTTTAAGGGTTTCAGTAGCAGATTTGTTGGGCTTCAATAAAAATTGATGTGAGCTTATTTTCAAAGGAAGAAATGAAGGAATGAAGGAGAGCTAAGAAAGGAAAGAAAGAAGGAGAAAAGATAGGAATATTAGAAAGAAAGAAAGAAGAAGGAAAGATAGGAAAAGAAAGAAAGAAAGGAAGGTAGAAAGAAAGAAAGGAAGGTAGAAAGAAAGGAAGGAAGGAAGTAAAGGAAGGTAGAAAGAAAGAAAGGAAGGTAGAAAGAAAGAAGGTAGAAATAAAGAGGAAGGTTAGAAAAAGAAAAGAAAGAAAGAAAGAAGGAAGGATAGGAAAGAAAGAAAGAAAAGGAAAGAAAGAAAAGGAAGGAAGGAAGGAAAGGAAAGAAAGAAAGAAAGGAAGGAGGAAGAAAGGAAAGAAAAAGAAAAAAAGATAAAAGGAAGGTAGAAAAGACCATAAGAAAGAAAGAAGGAAAGCAAAGACCAAAGAAAAAGGAAAGAAAGATAGGAAGGAGAAAGAAAAGAAAGGAAAAGAAAGGAAGGAAAGAAAGAAAAGAAGGAAAGGAAGGAAGGAAGGAAAGGAAGGAAGGAAGGAAGGAAAGAAGGAAAGAAAGGAAGAAAGGAAGGTTAGAAAGGAAGGAAGGAAGAAAGGAAAAAGAAAAGGAAGGAAAGGTTAAATAGAAAAGGAAAAAAAAAGGAAGAAAGAAGAAAAGAAAGAAAGGAAAAAGAAAAGAAGAAAGAAAAAGAAAGGAAAGAAGTAAAGGAAGGAAGAAAGGAAGAAAAGAAAAGAAAGAAAGAAAAAAGAAAAAGGAAAAAAGAAAGAAAAGAAAGGAAGGAAAGGAAAAAGAAAGAAAGGAAGGAGAAAGAAAAAAGAAAAAAGGAAGAAGGGAAGAAAGAAAGAAAGAAAGAAAAGAAAGAAAGGAAAAAAAAAAAAGAAAAGGAAAGAAGGAAAGAAAGGAAGGAAAAAAAAGAAAAAAGAAGAAAGAAAGAAAGGAAAGTAGAAAGAAAGAAAGGAAAGGAAAAAAAGAAAGGAAAAGAAAGGAAGAAAAGAAGGAAGAAAGGAATTAAGGGGTTTTCTTTAGAAAGAAAGAAAGAAAAAAAAAAAAGAAAGAAGGAAGAAAAAAAAGGAAGGAAAAGGAAGGTGAAAAAAAAAAAGGAAGGAAAGAAAGAAAGAAAGGTTCAAAGAAGGAAGGTAGAAAGAAAGAAAGAAGAAAGAAAAGAAAGAAAAAGAAAGAAAGGAAGGAAGAAAGAAAAAGAAAGGAAGAAAGAAGAAAGAAAGGAAGGTAGAAAGAAAAAGAAAGAGGAAAAAGAAAGAAAAGAAAGAAAGGAAAGAAAGAAAGGAAGAAAGAAAGAAAGAAAGGTAGAAAGAAAAAGAAAGTTAAAAGAAAAGAAGGTAGAAAGAAAGGAAAGAAAGGAAGAAAGAAAGAAAGAAAGAAAGAAAAAGAAAGAAAGGAAGGAAAGAAAGAAAGAAGGAAAAAAAGAAAAAAAGAAAAGAAGAAGAAAAGAAAAAGAAAGAAAAGAAAAAAAAAGAAAGAAAATGAGGAAGAGAAAAGTAAGAAATAAATATGGAAGGAAAGACCCTGGTAATGGAAAAGAATCAATGATGAAAAGATCAATTTCATTTAGCAAAGTTTTACAAATCTCATGCAATAAGTGAACCTACATCTATAACAAAAAGTCCACTGGCAGACTCACTAGGCTGGTCACTTGGCAGTGTTAGCTGCATGTGCATTTCCATTGAATGCAGTGCTGGAACTTTCCATTGCCACTTCAGACATATTTGAAATGCCTTTCCTGGCTAATATTTTTCCCTTTTGCTTTGAAATTTTTCCCATAAAAGTGCTTCTCATAGGAAAATCAGTATTCTAAAATATAATAAAACTGTATGTTATAATGTTGTCTATTCTTTAAAAAAGTATATGATTATAATGGCAACCACTGAATATTTGATGACAACAACATTTGTAATTGAATAATCAGTTGTGAATGCAAGTGTAAAGCAAAGAATCCAAGACAAAAACATCTGTAATAAAAAAAAACAAAGAAACTTCCACTCTATTTTACTTAGACCAATTTTTTGGTGTAGCTCTGAAAATAGAACTGCTAAACCTGTCATCATATAATTGGAAGAGAATGTCCCAGACTAAATTATGGAGTCTATTTTAGGGACCTTAATTCTTTCTGGTTTAGCAGAGACAGACGGATAGATTTTCTAACCTTTCTGAAAATACATCAAAGTAAAAACACTCCTAATGACTGCATTATTCAAATTATAATAAATAATGGTTATAATAACAATTAGATCATGATAATGTATTTAATAATGAATAATGGTTATAATAAAAATTAGATCATGATAATGTATTTAATGATGAAAAAAATGATGATAATGTATTTAATGATGAATAAAGTTTTAAAATTAGATCATTAATGACAATGATGATAATGGTTATAATTTTCAATTTGTTCATGACAATCTTGACCTGTTCAAGTCAAGGGTTAACCGTTATCTTCCCCTCCTATCTGTACAAATTGCCTTTTAACATAACCCTCTACCATGAATGTCTCTTGAGCTTTGTACAGTATGATCCTTACAGTAAAAAAAAAAAAATTTACAGTGAAGCAAGACTCACTTATCTTTTCAAGAAATGTAAATCTCGTTAATATCTTTCAAAGTCATTTTTTTAATTTAATTCCATGGACAAGATGTGTCTATTATACTTTTTACTAACCCTTTCCAATTTACAAATGGTGTGTTATATATCAGGATTGAAGTTCTGATTAAATTGTCTAAAGTTGAGGCATTTTTTTTTAATTTTCTGTTATACTCAAGTACTTTTGACAATCACGGTCATTGTTAAGAACTGAATGCAGTATGGTGATTTTTCTAAGCGTAGCTTAGATGTGGCACAAGGCTGAAATTATGGGGCACCCAGTGAACTCACTACTCAGTCATAATAGCGAGACAAACTATTACACCACATCAAAGTGCCCCACTAATCATATCAAATATGAGACAAATTTGAAAATATATATTTGTTCTTTCCAACTTTGCCTTGTAATTGAAATGATTTATTTCCTAACAAGAGGGTACTTCAATGTGTCTTAATGGTTAGCAAGCTTGTCTCACTAGATCAATTATGACATAGTAGTGAGTTTGATCCGCACTGGGTGCTCCACATACTTTTGGTATTGTGCCACATCTAAGCTACACTAAAAAAAAAATCAAATATATATATGTAATTTTTAGCTGTTATTTTAGATCAAGCACTATTTTATTACCATGACCACTTACTATGTGCTGTTATATATATATATATATATATATATATATATATATCTTTTAATTTAATTTAAAGAAAAACAGACCACTTTAAGGCTCCATTTGTTATAATTTATTTCACCAGAAGATTTTATTTTTCTCTGGATCTTCAAACTTCACTTTCAAAGGTGAAACAAAAGTGAATTAAAATTTTTTACTTTTGACAGACAGTATTAAGCTTATATAAGTTGACATAGAGGGTGGTGAGGAATGGTGTGAGAGACATGGTTGAGTTTACAGAGTGAAGGGAGATTATTAAAATTTATTTTTAATACTTAATATTGAGTAGGAGGAGTGAGGATCAGGCATTGACCTATTTAATCAGTCAACTCAATAGAAATGAAAAAAGGGGACAAAAGGGGTAAAGGAAAAAAAAGGGTGGGGGTAAAGGTATAAGATATAAGACATGTACGTAGGGTTTTTATATATAAATTAGCTGAGTTAAGCCCAAATCCAGATAAAGAGAATATAGCAAGAAGATAGTGATTTTTCTAGTGAGATAAGCTTGTTAACCATTACACTACATCAAAGTGTCCCAGGGTGTTATTAGTCTATTAGTATGTTAAGCAAATTTTTTTTTTTTTTTTTTTTTTTTTTAACTAATTGTGGCACTTTCAGATTGCTGGAACTGAAATCAGTTCAAAGTGATTTAATGTTGTTTTTTGTGTTTTTTTAATCATTTCACCCCAAGCAAGGAAATAAAGTCAGTAAAACACAAGAGATTACTGAGTGTCAGAGAATATAAGAAAAGAATATTATTAAGGAGAGAGGACAATAAAAGAATAGGAATCAATAAGACAGAAGATAATGACTGCCATTGCATTTAAATTTTTAAAGGTCAAAGTTAACTAGGAAGCCAAAAGCCAGAAGAGTGTTCCCTGAGTGAGAAATGTGAGAGAAGAAACTGTTTGCTTAGAAATTATAGTTACATCTAGACATTTCATCTTGCTGCCCATCTAGTATTACACTTAAATTCATAAAGTCGAGGTACCATAGAGAAATGTTATCTAATTCTTAAATGGAAAAGCATGTATTGAATATTTATGCATGTTTTTTTTATACACACTTCAACATACTATCCCCAGAATTATTTTAAAAAAATGTCTTTCTTACCATATTGATAACACCCAGTTCTTAATAATGACTATGATAGTCAAAAATGGAATTTTATAAAAATTATATATATGCCTGGGAGTATATGCATTTGGTGCTAGTATATTATTTAGTATTAATTATTGATACTATATTTTACTGCGAGTCCATCCTGAGTGGGTAAATGAATGAGAGTTTTGGTTTGACAGTATCTCAATAAAGTGGATACATTCCACAAAAATTAAAATAGGTGGAAATTTAAACCAATTAAAAAAAAAAAATTGGTGGTGGTGGTGGGGGGGAATGGAAGATCTGGATTTGGCAATTCCCAACACTATTCTGCGTCAATTAATATACCCTCCCCATGTTTCCAATGTTGGCATCAACAAGCCTTTCTTGATCTGATATTCATTCAAAACACTCACCAGTTGACTTTTGCCAGTCTTTGGTATTGTTAAAATGAATATCTTTATTTTTGTTTTCTGTAATTTTCTTGTATTTATCTTGTTCTTTGTTGTCTGTCTGTTTTTTTATCACTTTTCTGTGCCATCCAATTTCCAAACGTTAACTTTTTTTTTCTCTGCTTTCATAATTTTATCTTAATACTTGTCTCGTTTGTGCGTGTGCGTGTGTGTATGTATGTGTTGCGGGCCGGTGTGTACATGTTGTGAGATGGACAAGTGTGTCTCCTGAAATGGCCCACAACAAACATGGCAGACTCGGAGATTGAGTCCACCATAAAGAAATGTAAAAAAAACAACAAGGACCAATATATATGTACAGACAATAATGTATTAAACAACAAACAGTTTACAAAAATGACAAAGACAATAATGTGTGTGTACAAATTAATGAGAAAAGTTTATGTTTCAGAGCATACGTGAGTGACTGTGTGTACGTACATGTGTGTTTGTGTATTGTTCATGGCGTTTCCCCCAAAGGGAAAAATGCAAATCTCTTCAGGAGATTTACATGTGTCAGCTGAAAAGTAAGAAGAAAAAGAGGGCAAGAGAAAGATATCAACAAGTATTTATAGAACTGGAGAGCACCCCCTAGTAACAGTTTGGAAAATTAAAAAATTAGGTGGAGTTAACTCTGACATATCTATCTATCTATCTATCTATCTATCTATCTATCTATCTATCTATCTCATTCTATCATATCTATCTATCTATCTATCTATCTATTCATGTTCATATCTATCTATCTATCTATCTATCTCATTCTGTTCATATCTATCTATCTATCTATCTCATTCTGTTCATATCTATCTATCTAATTCTGTTCATTATCTATCTATCTATCTATCTATCTATCTATCTATCTATCTCATATCTATCTTATCTGTTCTATCTATCTATCAAATCTATTATTATCTATCTATCTATCTATCTATCTAAAAATCTATCTCATATCTATCTATTATTCTGGTATCTATCTATTCTGTTCATATCTATCTATCTATCTATCTATCTATCTATCTCATTCTGTTCATATCTATCTATCTATCTATCTATCTATCTATCTATCTATCTATCTATCTATCTCATTCTGTTCATATCTATCTATCTATCTATCTATCTATCTATCTATCTAAATATAAATATATATATATATATATGTCAGAGAGTATGTGGACATAAGGTGCTAGTACATTATTTAGTGTTAATTCTTGATACTACATTTTACAGTGGTAACTGAATAGGGAAATTCAGCTTGACGATTTGCCAACAAAGTGGATATTTGTACTTATAGAAGTTAAAACTTACACAACTCAAACTTGCACTTTAATTTGCTTCATTCAATTGTGTGTCCATATGTCATCTCAAGTGCCACTCGTTTATGGTTGACTGGTTGTTCTTGGTATCTGGGATGAACTCTAATTTCTTTGATAGAAGCCGAAAGGAAAGTAGGTTGATTAAGTAAAGTAGTCCTTCACCCCCCCCCCACCATTACCTCCCTTCCCAAGTGAGAGATAGTCATGTGCTTTTGACCATGGAAATCAGAAAAATTTACTTCAAAGTCGTCGTAATTGTATCAAAGCACCATTGAAACAATGTCAGTCTACTTTGTCCATATAGTGTCAAGCTCACTGCTGCAATACCACACTGACCAGCTACATTACAAGGAACATTGTGTGGCTTACCAACCTTGTTACCCCATTCCTCTTATCACCTCTCCCTCTTAATATACGAGAATGTCATTTAAACATCACATGATCAAAAGTTCTATGTCTGCTGATTGACTCTCCAATAAGATATCAAAGATATAAATCTAAACCAGCTCGACAAAAAACACCTAAACCCTCTCAACCTTTCTTTCTCCAACATTCTTGGTATTTGTACCAAATTTTGCAGTGTGGAATTGTTTCTCTTTGAAAAATATCAGGACATGCTAGCTCTCTGTGAAACTAATCTTAACTCTTCAGTCCTGTCCTCTGATTTCTCGATTCTTAGCTACCTTCCTCTACTTAGGAATGACTCTAATGTCCACATCCATGGCCTAGTGGTTTATATCTGTGAACAGCTCTCACTGGCAAGAGACCTCTCTCTCTAGAGTCTCCACACCACTCTTCCATGTGTCTCTGTCTGTCTCTACTTAACTCAGTCAGTTATCTCTTCTTTCTCTACCGTTCCCCTTCCTCTCATGACTGTTGTGTGCTAGATAGTATTTCTGATAATATAGACAAGGTCATCTCCTTACACCCATTAGCAAATATATTTGTGTTTGGTGACTTTAATGCCCACCATGACAGGTGGCTTAAACACTTTGTCACTGACCCCACAGGAATCCAGACCCTTAACTTCTCAATCACTCATATAAGTGGTGGACTTCCACATGCATTTCTCCAGTAACCCTGCTGGACATAGTTCTCTTCTAGTTCTCTTTTTACCACTATCCTGGACTCATATCATATTTTGAAGCTCTGCCCTCTTGGCAACTCTGATCATCATGCAGTAGTGCCTGAAAACATCTCTTTTCACTTGCCACCCAACCAAAAACCTTCTGCTAACGGAATATAATTTTTTTATGTGGACTGGAACTTGTTCCGTGACTTGCTTCACGATGTCACTTGAAATGCAGTTTTTAATCATTCTGTTCATAAATGCGCATCTGAGGTCACCTCTTGGGTGAAAGCCGGCATTGATGTTTTCATTCCAGTAAGGATATACCATGTTAAACTGCATTCATCTCTTTAGTTCACACCTGTATGCATGGCTGGTATAGCCCACGGGTGTCACTTTTTCCAGCTGTATCAAAGAAGCAAAGTTACTGTTTGCTGATAAAATAAAACAATCTATAACATCTCAGAAGTTTGGTTCTAGAGATTGTTATTGGCAGTTTTGCAAGAGTGTGCTAAACAACAGCAAATCCTCAATTCCTCCTCTATTCAATCAATTCAAAGTTCTAACATCTACAGCCGATAAGGTTGAATGCTTTGCTCAAAAATTCTCTTCCAACTCGGCATTCAACTGAGTTAAGGTAACCACACCTAATTTCCCTCTTTGAACAGAGGCTCTACTGAGTGATATGTGCATAACCCCATCAAAGGTCCCAGACATTATTTTTAAATTAGACTCCCATAAGCCAAGTGGAAGTGATAGAATCCCAGCTGTTATCCTAAAGAAATGTGCTTTTGAGTTGTCTCCAGTTCTTTCTAAACTCTACAACTATTGCCTTGCTGTTTCCTAGTTGTTGGAAGTCCTCCTTTGTAGCCCTTGTTTTTAAGAACTCTGGAGAACTTTCTGATCTCTCTATCACCCTATTAGTCTCCTACCACTTTTCAGCAAAGTATTTGAGGCTTTAATTAATGCTGAAGTGGTTAAGCATCTTATTTCCCATGACTTACTCTCTGACAAACAATATGGTTTCCATTTTGCCAGGTCTACTGCTGATGTGATGATGGCCGTTATTGAATATGTATATCAAGATCTTGATAATATCAAGCTGTGGGCACTAGAAATTTTGAAGTTGTTTGACAGAATTTGGTATTCTGGTCTTCTATGTAAGCTCCAGAGTCACAGTATTACTGGATGATGGATTTAATCCAATCATTCCTATCAAATCATGAAATGGAGGTTGTTCTGAACAGGTTCACTTCCAGATCCTGTCACATGAACAATGGTGTCCCCCAAGGCTTTATCCTGGGTCCTACACTATTTCTGATATTCATCAGTGATTGTCCTGATGTCTTCTGTTCCCAAGTAGGTATCTATGCAGATGACACTACCATTTGCTTCTGTCTCAATAGCAAATCCCTCAGAACTGATAAAGTTAACCTGGCCACTGCTCTTGTAAAGGATCTCCTGTCAGTGATTAACAGGGGCAGGAAATGGCTTGTAAATTTTAATACCTCCAAAACTAAACTCCTCTCATTTAACCACCATAGAGAAACTTTCCTTCCCACCATCAGCATGGCTGATGCTCGACTCCAGTAGAGCTTTTCTTCTCGGTCTCACATTTCAACTGACTTGAAGTGGAATGACTATCAAATCAATAGCTGCATCTACTTCAGGGAAAGTTGGTTCACTGTGTCATGCCAGAAGGTTTTTCTTGTCAGAGTCTGTCTTGCACATTTACAAATCTGCCATTTATCCTTGCATTGAATATTGTTGCCATATTTGGTCAGGTGTTCCTGCTACTCATCTTAAAGTTCTTGACAAAATCCAAAGAAGGATCTGGAATATAATCAACTCTGACTTGGCATCTTGACTTCAGTCACTTTCTCACCAATGTGACATAGCTTCCCTCTGTCTTTTCTACAAATATTTTTATGGCTACTGCTCTGACAAGCTTTTATTCCTACTGCCTATATCTATGTGAGTTTAAGCATGCTACTAGATTAGCATCTAGATCCCACCCTTTTACTG